CCTTCCAACCCCTAACATTCTGTGATTCATCTTGGAACCTTGCAGTGTCCCTGCAATACAGCAGGAACACATCACTCCATAGCCAGCACTTTGCAGCAGAGTATTTCAGTGCATACCTAGTGGAGTAAAGAAGACCGTCGATGAAAAGAGAAATCCCAGCACAAGTCCAATAATAAACATGCAGAGTAGAACCGAGCCAAATCTCCACCAGCTTGCAACCAGGAACAGCCCTCCAATAATTCCGGCTACTGCTGTCAAAATAAGACGCACTGAAAAAGAAAAGGGGAAATTCCAACACTCTGAAAGCTTCAGCTACTGCAATGACACACTCAGTAGCTTTGCTTACCTGGTTGATTGTTACCTAACAAAAACTTTCTGCAAAGCTCCAAACAAGAGTATCAGTATTTGCTTCATGCATTTCCCTCAGACTCCAAAGAGTGGCATAGGTCTTGCTACTATGTACATTAGTACCCCAGTTCCCAGGGCAGTTAGGGTTGCAACAGCTAAAGCATATCTATCAAAACCAAAAGTAACTACATGAGGTAGGACAAAGACTAAAAGGAACTAATTCTTGCTAGTCCAACAAGCAGGGTGCACCCGTTCCACTTCCATTTTACAGATTAAATCTGCATTTTATCGGAAACAGAGGTGCACCCATCACGAAATAAGTATGTTGCAAGTTTCCAGAGTTTCTAAAAATGTGTATCTTCCTTAGATAGATACTTAAATTTGTCTTTTATAGTTGCAGCTATTAATTCTGCATTGCTATCTGATGTCGGAAGCAACAGTTACTCTGTTGTATATTCAGCTATTATGGCAATCTGAGCTCAGTTCTAATACCCAGGTATCATCCTCCTATCCTTCCTAAGGCTGGCCAGCTACAAGCACGACTGATATTTTACTTAAGGGAAGCATAACAATACTCTGGGAAGAGTGTGGGCTGTCCCGACACATCTACTCACCATCATAACCAAGGCCAGTTACCCTTGTAATGAATACAAAGAAGAAGAATCCTGAGACTATAAAGCCCATGAAGAATAAGCCTAGAGAACAAGGAAAAAAGATTTAGTATGCAGTCATATCACTTCATACCAAGCCTACTTCGGTACTTCCTCAGACATCTTCATGTTACAACAGGGAAAGAACACATCAGCTCACTGTCCGAGAAGCACAAAAGGAAAGCCAGACAACACTTTGTTCTGGAAAGGTGTGTCCTCAAGCACTTCAAATAGTCAAAAAATTACATGTTTATATTGCCCAGCAGGCACACTGTTTCTACGCTTGTGTTCTTTGCATACCAGAAACTTCCTGCTCTGCACTTAAAAGCTCTGATCCTGTACAAGCAAAGCAGGGGACCTAACTGGCATGTAATTGCTGTCAAGTGATTCTTGGTAATAACGCACCATTCTAAGTTACAGCAAGTTACACCTATGGAGCTCTAACCAGACTTAGAAGAACAACAACATTCAGTACCTGTTTTCCAGAATCTGTGTCCAAAAAAGCAAGTGAAGAGACCAAGAACAGCAAGAGCAGTGAAGAATACTTTGGTAGAGAGTCTGCCTACAAGAAGAAAGAAAGGGTTACTAGAGCATTCTGCCTAGTGGTGCCAACAAGGAGACTAAGGTAAGGTTGCTGCCACTGACAACTTAATAGCTGCCACTCCTTCAGACACACCATGTGAGCAGATCTGCAATGCCTGAACTAACAGTTATCTTGACAGGATCTCCAACAGAATACTGAAGTAGTTCCAGGCCGATTAAGAAATCAAGAGCTTCCTCCTTATTCAAAAGACTTAAGTTTCTGTAACAACAGTTAAGTAGCTGTAACCTGCTGTTTAGAATACTGATACAGCTTTACCAGAAAATTCTCTGCCCAGCTTTAAAAAAAAAAAGGACATTCAATGACCTATGAAAATCAGTCATACAGGATTAGTGACCCAGGCAGCAGCTACAGTCTTTACCACTGCAACCTTCACCATAATCACCCTTTAATACATTTTCCATGCAACAGAAAGGACCATCAGCATCCCAGTATGGCTCACCTCTGTCTCCTAGGCAAGTTCTTACTGGTATTTAAGCTACTTGAAAAAAGTAAACCACATTTTCCTCATTCTCTGAATTAGAGGAGTTTAGCCTAGATCATTTGTTGTATAAGACACCACAGAGCTTGACAGCAGTTACTTGTGTTACAGTATATAAGAAAGTAATCTTGACAAACTTTATGAACCGTATTCTACCTATTATTCTTGTCCCTTCCACAGTCATAATGGGAGTGGCAGCTTTGGTGCTCTTCTGCTCAAATTCTATCATTACATAGCTTTGTACAAAGCAGCACAACTGACTCTGTAGTCATTTTGTTATTGCTGACATCATTTTTATGCTTATTTTAGGCAACTGTCTTCTTTCAAAATATTTGTAAGCTACTGATTCCTGTTAGCACCAGCACAGTTCAAAAAAAATCAGGCTGGACCCTAACCTAGTTTGTGTTTTATTAGCTTAGTTTCACATGCAGCATCTACAGACCTACAAGCGATTTAAGATTACGTATCCAGTTCAAATGGAAAAAGCCAGAGTGGCATGACAGAGTTGAAAACTATATATTTGCAAGCCACGTATTAAACCGCCATTCAGTTAAACCTTCAATTGCTAATAGTTCTCCTTAGTTTTCCTCCATTATTCTAGAATTTCTCCTCAGTCAAGAAGTAGACTCTGTCATAAAGTAACAAAATATATCTAGGGTGGAACAAAGAGCTCCTTCACACATTTAAAAAAAAAAGAAAATCTCAAAAGCACCACTCAGCATGTTGGAGCGCAACAAGCTTGAAATGAGCTGGCAAGGATGTACAAGTCCCAACTTACTGAGAGAAGAGCAGTTATCCACCAGGTCAGCAAAGCTGCAGGCGTATGTATGCACAGGTATGTATGAAGCAGAAGTATTCCAGAGAGGATCCCATACTATGACGTTGTAGATCACACCTTGTCCAGGAAGCAAGGAAAAGTAGACATTGGTCTTGTCATCACTGGTCAGCGTAAGCATCTGGAACATTAGAGAATATTATTAATTGCAAGGAACTGCTCGTCACAGTTGGCATTTTGATGTGTCCATACAGCTGAGGCACACTCAGCAGCTCAAAGATGACAATCAGCAAGAACTGCAGGCAAGAGCTCTCTTGCTCTGAACCCTCTCAGCATAACCACTTGAAGCGTTAAAGGCTCACAGGACAGACTCCACTTCCTCCAGCATCATTATGTTTTCTGACAGGGCAGAAGATTCTCTCACTCCTATATTTTGCTCCTTCCCATTTGAGGAGACAGTTCCGTTTTCCTGTCAAGTCTACTAACCCAGGTCTGGCCTCTTAAGGCAGGCACTTCTACTCCTCAGCAAGGCCAGACAGGTCACAGCCACTATGATTCTCCCCTCTGTCCCTTCCAGTCTCATTGCTGGGGGGCAGGTAAACATGCAGCAAGTGTTTGCTCTTGCATACCAGATGTCTCTATGCCACTCCAAATGGAACCCATTTCTAGTCCAGTCCCACTATACTCTCCTCCCTCTTCCCCTCCTTGCATTCCCTGTCCAATTCTCAGCATCTGAGGACGCCAGACCCCACCATCTATCAGACATTGTAGGAGACCGTATCAGTCTTTGGCAGAAGTGGCTTGACTTCTGGATTTACAAGCACTCAGTGGCAGCATTGCTATAGGCAAGCTGTCCTCAACATCACTGAGGGAGCATGTTGCTAAAGTAGTATTCAGCAGCCAGGAAGACACCACCACTAAGAGCTTGTTTAATTGAGAAAAAGAGTGCAAGACAGAAACATGTCACAGACCAGTCACTAACATCTACCCAATATCAGAGCCCACTGCAAGAAGCCTCAATTCTGCCACATTTCAAGCAGTGCTAACTAGCCACCTCTATCCCCAGAGAGAAGGGTTGCCAGTTTGCATGCATAACTCACTGTAGACCGCCTAGCCAGATATCCCAGACAGAAGTAAGAAGCCTGAAGCATTATCAGCTTGCTTATGTCACCACTCAAAGACAATAAACACAGGGGAGGGAAAAAAACCACAACAAACCAACAACACTTAAGGCTGTGCCACTGCCACAGGCCTGGTACACCAGTGCTTCAGACTTACTTTAACGCCATTAGCCTTGATGCTTTGCACCTCAGACATCTTTCGTATGTGGTTCATGAGTACCATCTCCGAAAGATCATTCTCTGGTAAGAAGTACTGGTAGACATCATAGTGCAGTCGCCATCTCGAGTTCTGACCAGTCCCTGAATCGCAGGATGGTGGGTTTGCTCCTCTACAATTAAAAAAAGATCAGCTATGTGGCCAGCACAAGCCCCCAGGTCTTAACATTATTTTTCAAAAGTCACCTGTTCAAGTTGGCAGTATTTGGCTTCTACTCTTTAGAAGCTAACACTAGCAGCTAATTCAAAACTAGACTGTAAATGTTTGTGAGCACAGACTACAGTAGTATTACATAGAACTACTCTGTTGCAGGTAGTGTCTGTGCTGGTACCTACCTTTACATCCACAGAAGATTCCTATGAGTTGTCATAAGGAATCAGCACAAGAATTCCAAGAGGTCACAACAGCCAAAGATCACAGTGTCACTGTTTGTTTTTCCGTGCAAGCTATACATACAGCTTTGAACACAGCCTTCCCCACTCCCTGCCTATCACCTGTGACACCAGACAGGAAATAATGCCTTATAACTTGAAGTCTCAATGTTAAACAAAACCCTAGGTCATTATCATGCTCTAGTAACAGTAAAGGAATGAAACTGGCTATAATACAATTGCTCCTCAAACTGATTGAGTCACTGTGAGGAATAGGAAGATCCAGTATTTGCTGACTGCTTGCACATATGAAGTTGCATAACGTCTCCCACAACATACACCTCTTAGCTTTTGTCTCTCATGTATTACCACTCCCTCTACTCCTTTCCTTCATTCACTTCGGTTTGTTGCAGCAAACGAGATTTCTGCCAGCAGCTGGACGGTCAGCCTTTTCAACGGAATCTTGTTTTATGATCTTGGCCCAAATACAGGACAAAGAAGGTCTTGTTGAGCGCACTGAAGTTTTTCCACACACCTGGCATATCCCAAGTTTGCAGGGGCGAACTTGATGTGTAGATCAACCAATGTATAGTCTAGGTAAATATTTGGATCCACTTCCAAGTCAAATTCTAGATTGCAGCCTCCAGGAATAGGATCTAGAACACAGAAGTGATAGCGTAGTAGTTTTTACTTCTCCCTTACACAGCATGAAAAAAGTTCTAAGACCTCAGCAATGCATGTACTTGCAGGCATAGTCTGCTTGCTGAGCACATAAAATTGACAGGTTCTAGTCCTGCAGACAACACAAGTGGTTTCACTGCAGTCTAGGATAGGTGCTGATACATATGCACAGCAGTTTTCTACTCTAAGGCTGAAGTCATGACAAGACCATGCAGTTCACCCTAGACACAACTCGCAATTCAGCAGCAATCAACTTTTTCAGCCCATTTCAAAAGAATTTCTGGCATCTCCATTGTATGTTTGCACCATATAAGAATATCCCCTCTGAAAGGTCAACACTTCATCTCATAGTTAGTGTGTACTAAGCAGAGCTGGTATCCCTCAGCAAGAAATAAGAACATACCTTTCTCCATATAGGGAATAGAGATAGCTGTGCTGAGCACCTGGCTAGTAGCCAGTGACCGAAGGTACCATGTACACACGCTCTGTTCAGGCCGAAGGATGGAAACCAGTCCTTTGTCTACTCCGGTTCCTGAGCTGTTCACAGATGGATTCTGGACAGAAACAAGTTACTTAAACCAGCAGTTCTTCTTGAGAAGATTTCTACCACAGCTTGATGTATTGCACAGGAGTCACATTCCTGCCGCAAACCCGTAGGGCACACACTTCAGTGCCAGTTGCCCCAGATGAGGCACTTGGCCCTTAGCTAGCTGGTAAAAAAGGAAGATGGAAAAAAGGAGCTGGAAAAAAGGGAGTGGCCTCTGACACTACACAGTGCCTAGCTCAGGCTCAAAAACCCAAGTGATTAAGTTTGAGACTACTGAAGAGTTAATCACAGACAAATTGCAGCGAAATCTAGCTAGTTGAAGTCTATTGCTGCATAGCAATGGAGTGACCAGTAAAGGTGCAAAAGGACTGGAATATCCCTCACAAGAAGTTGTGAGATGTCACTAAAGGGTATTTTGGGAACCAGAGTGCAGAAGCACCTCACTATCTCCACCAGAATGGAGATGACTGTACGACAGCTGGCTTAACACCACCCATGCCAAACAAGCGCTTGGGGCCAGGTCAGCTAGTGACCCACTGCCCACCAGCCACCATCCTTTTCAGAACCAGGAGTCTTGAGGAAAGATCAAGCAGCAATGGCAGTGTCACACTCACACGGCTGGAACAACCAATTGACCTGCAGTCCAATCTGTTTTTCAGCATGGAAAATGTGCTTTGTCCAAGAAGAACACTCATCTGATGCAACACTGTAAGGAAGCACTTTGGACCAGGCAGATTTTAAGGTCTGGCTCAGCTTCATATCTCTAGAGGCAGGCCAGCCTTAAGAGCAGTATAGCCATATTTATGCATCACTTTCCTTGGCCTGGTAAGGCCCATGAATGCAGAGAGGGTCTGAACTGACAGAAGATTCTACCAGTAGCCAAGACAAAAAGCAATCAAAATAGGTGTAACAGTAATGCCTTAGCCCTGTAATCCTGCCTATTTCACCAATACATAGATGACTGAGCTGGGTGACTTGTGCTACAGGTTATTCCTCTCCTAAGCTTCCCAGGATACTTCTTGGCACTCAGTATATTCTCATCTATACTGATGGGGAGAGGGAAACTGGATAGCAGCCGTCAGATGTACATCTGCTACCTTCAGCTTAGTCTATGTTCTGCTCAAATACCACTTAGAGCCTCAAAGCACCACCACCAAAAGAAAAGAAATCAGTATTTTAGATTGCCTCTCAGTAATGACAGGACAAATTGAGGCTAGTGTATAGCAGTGGGAATGCTTATACTGTTGGCTGGAAGTAGCAGCCATCACTGGAGTACTATGGAGGAATTTCCCCACGTGCCATCAAAGGAGAATTAGATTCAGGACAAGGAGCTGGAATACAAAGACATCGTATCTGTAGGGGCTAGATCCAAGCCACATAAACAGCAGACAACTAAACATCCCAAAGTGATCACATCTAGTGTATAAGTTATCTGGCAAATACCTATCATGAATCTGGTTTTAGTTTGAGAAACAGATGGGTAATAGTCAGCAGTCACATGTCAAAAGCACCACTTTCACCAAGAACAAAGAGCCTTGAAACATTTTCAAGCCAGCCCTGAAATTCCTTTAGCATTTGGTCCTCCAAAATAGCAGCTATGGCATACAAGTACAAGAAAGGATTTCTGAAGCTGAAATAATACTGCCCAAGAGCTACACATGTAAGATATTCCTATGACTTCCATAGCTTCAGTTCTATACTCCTACATGTACTTGACCCAACTTCTTTGTTGAAAGAAAAGTAGCACTCAAGAACAGAAAGAAGTGACACTCTTACAATACCTTATCAAATGATATCACCACATCGCTTTGCTGGGCATGTACTTGAAAAATAATGATGGTCACATTGCTTGCAATGTTCCTGATTACAGCTTCCACTGGATTGGTCTGGTTAAGTAGCACATTTCTGAATTTTCCCAAGGACAGCTCAAGAAGACCTGCATTACAAAAAAAGGAAGACACTTTTTTTTTTGTCCAGAGGGAAGCAATTACCAAGGGGAGCCTGGAAGCTTCCAGTAGCCCAATATTAGTCAGCTGGGAACAGAGCAAGATGTTGGTTTATGCTACTCATCCTGTAAGCTGCATTAAGGTTTCAGACTACTACACACAGAGCTATACCTACAAGAACAGGTACAGCTAGAGAACTCGCCATGCAGCCTGGCACTCACCTAAACACGCGGGGCAGCACTTGCAGCCAGGAGCTCAGTATTTGATACAGCTGAGCTCATCAGCAACAGACACTAGCTGCAGCTGACCAGCTAGGGCAGTCAACATCAAGTAACATTCAGTGGAGTAAACAAGACAGGACACTGAGGACTGCCTGCTCTTTGGCAAAAACAGGCAAGTACGCTTGTATTAGCCAGCTGACTTGCACAATACCTGTTACACTTCCTGAGGAATTCCCAAGGACCAGGGGAGCTGCAGTCAACTTCTGTAACAGAGTCAAATCTGCAGTTTACATATGTATACTTACCCGCTTCCAGCTATTTCACAAATGTCTTTCACTCCCACGCTACTCTTAATTATTAGGACTGTTGGATGCCAATTCCTGTTATCTAATAATCTGACTAATTTTTCCAAGACACAACCAAGACCATTTCTTCTTACAATGAGCATAACCCCATGATCCACTGTCATTTTAAATTTAAAGAGAACCATATGACCTAGAACACAAGATTCTCTGAGAATCAGCTTTGGCTTGTCATTCAAGTCCTGCAAGAAAGCCTGGTTTCTCCCTGTGCTGGGCTCTCGAGGGACAGGGGATGGCAAGGGAGGAAAGAGAAGCAGCTGTATAGAAGCCACAAGATCCTCTTCAGCTGGTGGTTAGCAGGCAGACTAGATGCTTGCAGAGCATGCACAATGCCTTTCAGGTTTTTCCCTGAATTCCCTTGTGTGCACACAGTAGTGCAGCAGAACTAGAGCTTATCAAGCCTAAAACACATACACAGTACTTCCTCAATAAGTTGCCTTTTCTGGTGTAAAGGGTTGATATCGTCAAGTACTCCAACAGAAGCACAGAGTAATCAACAGCACCATCCCATACACACCATTGCTGGTGACTCAGGTGGTCTCCCATCTAAAAAAAGGGATGAGATAAGTTCTCATCAGAAACTGTACCCAGCACTAACTCCTTTCCTGCTATTTTTCACTCTCCCCTGCCATGAACTGCATCTTTGGCCATCTTCTTTGCCTCTTGATATGTAAACAGAGGTGAGCTCCTGTCCTCATCTCCTCCACTCCTCACAGCAGAGGAAGAAAGCAGAGGAAGAGTCTAACTCATCTCATCTTGCTAACTTCAACCCTTACATGCTCACACCCAAAATTCAATTAATGTAGTACTGCATCACCAATAAAACCCCAACTGAAATATGAGGCTTATAAACCACTTAGGTGGAAAAAAAAAGTCTCTATTTTTCTGCCCCATCATCTGCAGTTTGAGTTAAGGTAGAAAAAGCTTCTGCTCCAAGTTTTCAAACAGTAATTAACATAAAATTAGAGCTACAAAAAAGCTTTGTGTATTCTTCAGTTTCCGATACAGTTCCTTGAGCAGCATTCAGATTTCCTCCCCTTCAAGACCTCTTTCTTCCTCTTGAGTTCTACCAGAAATGCAACTAGCAGCATGAATGCTAAAAAAAAAAAAAAACCAACACACCAGAAAAGCATTCAAAAGGCACAGACTATACATCCATGCACTCAGAAGTTTGGAGTCAAAGTTTAGAATGCAGGAAAAATATTTTTCTTTGATCTTTTAAGAACTTCAGCACAGCTTCCTGAACCACAAGATGTTCTTTTAAGGAAAAGGCTGAAACCATATACATTCTCTCTACACTCTACATCGAGGGGAAAAAAAACCCTGCATTGCTCTGTCTTGTTTCTCATCTCCACTCTGTACTCATACCCAGAGGTCTCTGCATAAATAATAGATTCGTCAGCAAGACATGCAGACACTACTTCAACATGGTCATGAGACTCTAAATGTCAGAGGCACTCTCTCAAGTTTAATTAGTGTGGTAAATTAAGGCATGGCGTTCTACATTGCTTTAATGTTTGCATAATTGCTCCTAAATCAGTGCATGTGACATACATTTTAAACCAAAGTCTGGACAGAACAACATAGATTCAGGGTGAAGAACGAGAATGGCTACATCCAGACAAGTATTTTCCAGCTTGTTGTTCACAGGCTCCTTGAACCACACTTCCAGCCAGGCTCAAAAGATGACTAGAAGGAGAGTTTATAAGCACTGCAGAGCATCAGAACCTTCTAAGTAGTTTGCTGGAAGAGCAATTGCTACATGGCCACAGACTACAGCACCTTTCCAGCCTTGTCTTTTTCTGTCATTTGAAAAAGTCACTGGTGGTGCTCCAAGGCAGGAGGGGAGCATGGAGAGCAAGACAAATTAACCAACCTGCAATTCATCAGGCCAATTGCTATTGCAAGTTCTCAGACAGGCATCAGACTACCCAAGCCATACGGAGCTCAGTGTTGTCAAAGACACTTTGAAGGAAAGATACAGAGATCTCCATGAATACACAGGACTGGCCACAGCACGCAAGCTTCTCCTATGGGCAAGCT